CGGCGGTTTAGACACGAGGGAAGGATGAATGAAAAAAGAGTTAGTGCAAAGCAAAAACAAGAAGTTATCGATCAAATTGACGATATGTTAACGATGGGCCAATTTAAGTGTTTTTTTATAAGGGAGACAAACGAGCACACTCCACCTGATGGTAAGTGTATGCTGTGGGCCATAGACATCTACATTTATCCTCGATTAAGAATCAAAACGTAGATGTTGTCACCCCTGAAGACTACGATGGAATGCCTCGTTTCCAGTAAAAAAGGGTCTCCGGATATCTGCACTCACCATACGAAGGAAATCAGTATTAAGCTGCTATTTTACGCTGGTATTCTGAGAGAGCGTGGTCCTTCCCCGGTTGAGCCGACTTATTCTCGCCACAACCATAATAGCTGCAGCGTAGCTCTACCACGTGTAAAAAAATACTCTTAGACGACGAGCGTGTATACGTAGATATAATATGGAGAAAAGAAACGAGAAAAGAAAGAGAGAGTAGTGTCAGAATCGTGCTAAATGGAAGTCTGTAGTCCCTGCTAACCTTTCTCGAAGATGGGCGTGAGATTTTTCGTATGTATGAAATATAAATTAAATTAATAAAATATAATATAATATATACTTGAGTTAAATGATTTGCTATGATGGGCTATGAAATAGAGTGACTGACATAGTCCAACGTATTAGTGAACTGAAGTGGCAATGGGCCGGTTACATAGCTTGAAGAACAGACAACCGATGGGGAAGAAAGGTTCTCTAGTGGCAGTCTCGTACCAGTAGACGAAGTGTAGGGCATCCCCTCACTAGAAGGAGTGATGATATGGTAAGGCATGCAGGAAGTCGATGGATTCAGGAGGCTCGGGACCGTGCTTTGTGGCGTTCCTAGGGGAAGGTCTATGTTCAGCAGTGGACTTGTGAAGTGTTGTAATGATGGTGATGATGATGATGATGATGATGATGATGATTAGTGGAGTTACAAGTTTTAGGTAATAACTAAAATGTCGTCTAAATACTTACATTAAAATCATCATACCCTATTTGTACACCCATACGAAAAGAATTTATTTGCTTCATGTTTTTATGTGACCACTCTCAAATATAACCTCTTTCTCCAAAGATAGTATTAATAAAATTAATGTAGCATAGAGTTTCTCGCCTCGACACTAACCTATTTAATAAAAATGGAACCATTTAAATCACTTCAGCCGTTTCGGAGCAATTGGTAAACATACATATATATGAATATTTTACTAGGTGGTACAACTCGCGGCACGAAAATCTAGCGGCGACCGTTATTGCGCATAATTGGCAGTATTGCGCATTATTGCGTATGATTGGCTGTGCGTATCGTTGGCACGCGCTAATTGGCTCTCCAGTCGCATTCCGTCCCCCGTACTCATACATTCGCAGCTGTCCCCTCCACGTTTCGTTCAGCGCTAGAGTTACGTGCCGCAATTTATACGACTTATTTTTGCCTAGGAGTTCAATTAGGGAGATATCATCGTCTTACCTATTTCTGCTGCCAAATAGCAGTGCTTGCACTGCTGTCTTTCAGTCTGAAGGGTATAGAAAGCATGTATAATTACAGACTGCGAGACATTCCATATTAGTCCTCAGATGTGGCCATATATATGTATCCTTCTTTGTTTGAAGTTGGCTGCAGGTGTCCATAGATTGCAGTAGCCACTCACCATTTTTTTTATTCTTAGAAAGAGTACTTTGTCGCTGATACGATTATGATGCCCTGGTAGTTACAACAAAATAGCAACTTATCATGTGGACTTTTTTTTTATAAATATGAGTGCCAAACTAGCAGACAGTCCGCCTGATGGTAGGTGGATGCTGTGGCCAATAGACGTATACATTTATCCTCGATTACGAATCAAAATGCGGATGCATAGTCACCCCTGAGGACTAAGATGGAATGCCTTGTTTCTTTTAAGAAGGGCCAAAACAATTTAACCTATTTAACATTATAGTATTTCATTGACGTCTTGAGTATTATGTCATGAGGTCCCCGGTTCGCATACCGGGTAGGGCAGCGTTCTCTCTTAACTATTGCCTGACGGATTGGGGATCGTGAAGATTTTGAACGTGAGGCCACGCTGTATCTATGCAGGTGCTACCACATTTAAAATTTATGATATATGCTGAAGTTGTGCAGCACGAATGGGTTTATTAAAAATAGAATAGGGGTGATAAATGAGCACGCAGTCCACCTGATGGTAAGTAGATGCTGTGGCCCATAGACATCTACATCCTGACGAATAAGATAGAATACCGCGTTTCCCGTAAAATAGGGTCTCCTGTTCTCTACACTCACCATACAAAATACAGTGAGAACGTGGACCTATCCCGGCCGAGCCGACCTATAAAAGGTTTATTTGACACTTCCGTTTTATAAAAAAATCAAGTAAATGATAAGCATCGAATATAAAACCTTATTTTTGAACTCCGTTAAAAAGCTTTGTTACGCGTTTCTTCTTTGTTTATGATTCTTTGTTTTTGAAATAATTTTAATGTATTAAAAATATATTTTGATTTTGAAGGTGCTAATGTTAAGTTTATTGAATGAAAAAGTTACTATTGTCATAAATACTTTTCTTAGCCTTATTTTTGAATATTATTAAACTACTGAAATTCTTACAATGTTGAATCACGGTTAGAATTTAAACCTTATATAAACTCAATTATTATTATCTACTCCGAACTTATCGGCCTATGTTATCCCTACAAGAGCCCCACTTTATTTTTATGCCTCCATAAGTACATAAATTCATTCGCTTCGTACAAAACAACATAGTCATTCCTAAGTTACATAAAGGCAGAGCATCTAGCTGGAGCTATATGATGTTGCGGGACGGAGTGCGGGGCAAAGGGAGGGAGGGTCGAGGCGAATCAATAACCCTGTCCTACTGACCTATATAGGAGCCCGGTGCCGCTATGACTCTAATCTGCTTTATCAACGTTGGCTTACGTCCATGAATTTGTTACTGTTCGAATGCTAAATATTTTAAATGTAGAATACATTCTGACATGTTAGGTACTATATTCTAAATCGAAATAAATAATGTTTCTTTTTATTTGTAATATTATTTATGGTCAGACTATCCTTTGTCCTTTTAACCTTTGTCTAATCTTATTTTTTTTTTTGGGATAAGGTTGACAAACGAGTACACAGTCCGCCTGATGGTAAGTGGTTGCTGTGGTCCATAGACGTCTACATGTAACCTCGATTACTAATCAAAATGAAGATGCGTTGTCACACGTGAGGACTTAGATGGAATGCCTGGTTTCCAGTAGGGTCTCCGGTTCTCTTCATTCATTATACGAAATACAGCACTGTTAACCTGCTATTTTACACTGGTATTGCGTGAGGGCGTGGTCCGCTGCCAGTCGGGAGTGAGTGAGCGAGAGAGAGTGCTACAACTATAGGTACTACTAATATGGCTCCAGCACGGCTCTACCACGTCTATCTACCCATGTTTGCTGTAAGTTAGGCTTGGATGCTGTGTCAGCGATAGTCGCGAGTGTTTTATAATCTGGGAGTAAGACAAGACACCTAAACCTTTAATTTAGTTTTTGTAGTAAAGTCTTTCTTTGCGATTCGAATAAAATATAGGACTCAGTATATATAATAGTTTGCTGTTCCGTGAGCATAACCAAGTTCATTTTCCAATTATTAAGGCTAATAGCGAACTGTTTTTTTTATCGGATAGGGTGACAAACGAGCACACAGTCCACCTGATGGTAAGTGGTTGCTGCGGCCCATAGACATCTACATCTATCCTCGATTATCAAAATGCAAATGCGTTGTCACCCGTGAGGACTAAGATAGAATGCCTCGTTTTCAGTAAAAAGGGTCTCCGGTTCTCTACACTCACCATACGAAATACAGCAGCATTAAGCTACTATTTTACACTGGTATACTGTGAGGGCGTGGTCCTTCGCCAACCTATTCGTGCTACAACTATACTACTAATATAGCTCAAGCATGGCTCTACCACGTAAATAAAAAAAACTGTATAATTTTTTTTTATTAAAAGTATAAACGGGCTTCAAGAACTATAGACAATAAAATGAATTCCACATATCGTTAATAAAATGGTAACCACTAAGGTCACTTATTCGCTGCTAAAACATAGTGTATCGAACAATCAGAAACTATATAGAAATTATTTTATTCTTTTAACTTTTCAAGTCCTAGACGACTTCCATCATTATCACCATCATCATTACAGCCCTTCACAAGTCTACTGCTGAACAAAGGCCATAATACCACAAAGCACGGTCCTGAGCCACCTGCATCCATCGACTTCCTGCATGTCTTACCAGGCCGTCACTCCATCTAGTGAGGGGGCCGCCTCACACTTAGCATACCGGTACGAGGCTATCTAGCTACTCAGAGTCTTTCTTTCTTACTAATCTGTTTCTAGACGACTTTATAAACTAATTTTTTTTAATAAATAATAGTATTTTTTATAATTTTACCTTTTTGAATGAATTAACAAATCCCAAGTCCAAGGCAAAAACTCTTTCTATAATATTGTTACATAAAAAACTTTATGCCCTGTTTTGCCATCCTTAGCGGTTGAAACTTTTTCTTCATATTTATATGGGACCGTAGGTACCTGCCACCATGTACAACCTATTTAGCTTAAGTTACAGTTACAGCCTACACACGTCCCACTGCTGGGCACAGGCCTCCTCTCTTTTCTGAGAGGGTTTTATATTTTTTTTTCTTATTTCTCAGACATGCAGGTTTCCTCAGGACGTTTTCCTTCACTGCCGAGCACGTGTTAAATCAGCACTTAAAATTGCAATTAACAATTAATTTCATTAGGTGCAGGCAGGGATCGAATCCGGGTTCTATTAGAAAAAAAAACTGCGTTGGTCTATGCCTGCCACAGTGACAACTATGGCAAATATACCCCCTATGAGGCAGTCTTTAGGGGATGGCTATGTTAGGCAGTGGACTTTTATAGACTGTGTCTTTTCTTCCTCAGATGGACATCTACGTGCAAACGGCGAGCCCCATCGTAGAGCAAGTGGTGCGTGGCTACAATGGCACGATCTTCGCGTATGGCCAGACTGGCACCGGCAAGACTTACACAATGGCCGGCTCCAACACGGCGCCCGAGCTGCGCGGCATCATACCCAACTCCTTCGCGCACATCTTCAGCCATATCGCCAAGGCGAAGGATGACGAGAAGTGAGTGGTTTTGCGAGTGTGGTTAAACAGAAAGTATGGTCAAGAAAAAAAATGACAAAGTCGCTTCTCTAAGACGCTTCTTTCATCACTAGTCTGGGTTTTGCACCCACGAGTCCAGGAGTATTCACTCACAAATCAATAGATATCATAGCCTTCCGTAACCTTTGGCTTGGAAATGAAGTTAAGTTAAAATTGGCGATTGTTAAACGTTAACATAGTTCTGTGGCCGTGGAAGGAAAAGTGGAGATCTCCCGCCGGGCAAGGTGTTTTGCCCGGGGAGCGGCCAACGCTCCGATTGGTAGTATTTTTTTTTGCGTCCAGAAGCAAAGTCAAGGGCCACCCTCCGTGAAGCACGGGAGGGAGGTGGTGAATGCTCTTAGCATACCACGCAGCTGGCTGCGTGGCTTATGTGGTACTCACTACGAAAACCTAAGTGCCTACCCACTAAACACCACTTGGGACTGGCTTTGGCCTGGAGGGCCTATCTGCCGTATCGGAAGCCTCTCCCCTTGGGGTAAAGGGGTGCAGGCGGCGATTAGCTGCTGAGAAGCGTGCCTAACTAAGGCAAAGGAGATTTGGCTTGAGCCGTCGGGAAGCAGTCCAGGTCGGCCGAAAGCTTGTTATGGGGGTCCGAGAGAGAGTTTTTCTGCGAATTTCCTGCGAATTCGATAGCGAGAGGGAAGTGGTACTGCATAGGAAGCTGCCTCACGAATAAGCTGATTTGGGAAAGTGATTTTAGAAATTGTTGGATTGTAGGGAGCTCTAAGTCTCGGTGAAGGTCGCCGTTACGGACTAACCAGGGTGCGTTCGTAGCGCGACGACAAAATGAGTTTTGAACTACTTGAAGTTCGTTTATGATGCTAGGTTTAGCATGAACAAAAATGGGGATCGCGTATGTCATACTATAACTGGTCATATACACAGACATTACACAGGGTTCGCTTGTTGCGGAGAGACATTTTACCGTGTCGGCCCCCGAATGATAGTTCGGAGCTATTCTATATATACTGTTTCACTTCGGAACTTTTATTGCGCGATTTAGGATTCGATGTGTTTCGCTTGTGGCGCGACGACAGCGCCGCCACAATTCCTAATCTACTACCTTATATACTGAAACCAGACCAGAGAGAAGATTCAAAGGTAATCAAAGCATGTCCTACAAAAATTACACAACGAAATAATATGTAAAAGTAAAGCTAAATGTGTTGCAAGCCCGAGCAAAACAGTCTGTAAGCGACCAGTAGTAAAACTAAAATCGTAATAACTTCTCGGAATGTGGTGATATCATCGACATCATCATCATTACAGCCTATCAAAGTCCACTGCTGAAATCAGGCTTCTCCAATAGATTGCCTTTTAGCTCCTCTTAGCTCAGCGTTGCCCTAATAAAGTAAAGTAAAGTAACAGTCTATATACGTCCCACTGCTGGGCACAGGCCTCCAATCTCTTTCCTCTTTACCAATTAGGGCAAGGAAGTGTCCGCCACTCTGCATCAATGCGTATTGGTGAACTTCACATGACTTCGATTTTTTTTCTTATTTCTCAGACACACAGGTTTCCTCACGATGTTTTTCTTCACCGCCGAGCACGTGGTAAATCACTTAAAGTTGCAATTAAGAGGATAGAGTAAGTCAGCTCAAATTCTAATTTCGCCCCCACTTCCCCGCGCTTCGTATGCTATGTACCGACATGTTTGTAATCACTAATACTGTAAGTAGAAAGGTCATTAGACACTTATTTCATTAGGTTTATCATATTTATGCCTGTTTCTTAACGCCAAGCCAGCCTCTTCTTATTTTTATCACGGTTATTTCCCAATGCGTAATGTATATTCTGATCGTAAGCGACACAACTTCTCCCTTCAAAAGCCTAAGCGATACTAACGGGGCGACTGGAATCAAGCTCAAGACGCCGATAGTTTAGGTAATTTCTTTTTACAGTGAAAATAATGGTATTTTAAAAAAAGTAAATAACATAAGCACTGCTTTATAGTTAGTTAAGTTAGTATGCAAAGTTTCATGATCTTATTTAAAGTATTTTATGAATAACAGCGGTTTATTGTTTATTTTGGAGGTAACTTTGGATTTTTTTTCTATCGAGAAAATTTTACGAAATCGTGTTTTCGTCAAATTTAATCTTATTTTCTCTTTAATAAATCAATATTTCAAAATTAATGCTGCAATATTTTCGGCATAACGAAGGATCTTGCTAAGCCATTTGACATTATATTTCCCCTTAACAATTTTGTTGGTGCCGGCGGGGATCGAACCCGGTTTACTCGCGTACTGTGAAATTTACAGGGAGCGTTAACCATCTGAGCTATTACGGTTCTCATTGCCCTAATAACAACTAAAAAATAAAAAAATGCGGCTTGGAAATACCAACACTCGTGTAGCAAGCATGACAGCTATGGAAAATGTTCCCCCAATAATAACAATTATAACTGCTTCAGAATTACTGCGTCCGAGTGCGTGGTACATTCACAACGGAAGAATGCAAAACTGCGGTGTGGAATGGGGATTGGGGAATTAAATTGTATAATTCCTAACGTATAAAAGGGAAGGTTTATCTTGAAGAATGGCCTACGTAATAATTTACTCCAGATCCAAATTCGAATAAAGCGGCCAGTCTCAATGGAGACTAGCCATCTACGCTTTACGGGACTGTATTGCACGAGTGTGTGCGCATGCGCAGATGCACTCCCTATTCTCTTGTTTTCATTATATGACGGCATATTCTATATTCCATTGATGATTGCCAAAGTGATAGAAGAGATCAGACGCAGGACCATTTATTAATAGGATTTTAGAGACACGGGGGTAAAACGCCGCCAACTTTCTGATTTTGTTATTGATTTTCTGATTTCATAGATTTGCTGTGCAGATAGCAGATTGAAAGGATTTTAGGCTGTATAAGAATTTTACGACCGAAAAAGCCACTGATTTTCGAGCCGGGATTCAAGATCAACGAGGTGGAGGAGGTATTAAATAAAGTCATCAAGGCAGCCAGAATATTGTTTTGTGGCTCCGCTGGAATGGATATATAGAGTGGGATTTTAATAATGTCGTCCAGATCGAATTTCGATCACGGCGGTCGGCCTCAATGGAAACCAGCCATCTGCACAGGGCTGCATTATAGAGCGCTAATGTATGCGCAAGCCCAGCGGTATGCTGTGTAGCTCAATTCCCCAACTCTCATATTCCGATGGGACGGTGATGACTGGAGAGAGTTCAGGCGCAGAAGGTGAAACTTATTGCCATTGCTGACTCCGGGCTGCTACTGAAAATATCTCGACAGAAAAACTCATGATCAGCAACCACATTTACCAAGACAAGACCAGCAAGGCAGTCAAAAGTGGAAGGTTCTTTACAATAATGGCAAATTATGTGCTTGCCATTATCGAAAGACCCCTCGACGAGTTCAAAGTTCAAAAGCATATTAGTCGGTAAACTCCTAGGTATACTTCTGGACAGAAAAGCCTTATTATTTGTTTCGTAGACGTCAATTATCGTTATTACTGTTCTTCTTCTTCTTTAAGTGCCTCTCCATTACTGAAGGTCGGCAGTCATCCTTCTAAATTCTTCTTTGTTCATGGCTAGCCTGAACAGATCTTCAACTTTCTTTATCCCAGTCCATTTCCGGATGTTACATAGCCACGACATTTTCCTTCTACCAACACCTCTTTTACCCGCTACTTTGCCCATCACAATAGTCTGCAGCAGTTGGTAACGTTCATGCCTTAGCACGTGTCCTAGGAACGCAACTTTTCTCTGTTTGATGGTTTTGACAAGTAGGGGTTCATTCCTTTTCATCTGTTTAAGGACCTCAATGTTGGTAACTTTGTCTGTCCAACTTATTCGGAGCGTACGGCGATATATCCACATTTCAAATGCTTCTAGTTTCCTACGGAGATCTATCTATTACTGTTACAGTCTTTCAAAAATTAACTACTGAACATAGCCGTCCTCTAAAAAAGCTTGGCAGGCAGGTTGATTTTGTTTTTAATTGTTATATGGTCGGCGAAATATTTTCTACGTATTTTCTTTGTATAAAATTGAAGAAAAATCTCTTTGGTTGTACTGTTTTTATCTGGCTGGTTTTCATCATCAAATTAAGGAAAAGAAAAATAAAAAGTAAAAAGCACTTATCCGCCATTTTTTGATTGTTTTTTTCCGTTCGCCAAAATGAGTGAATCTAACGAAGAAATTCGATACATTCTGAAGATTTATTACAAAAAAGGGAAAAATGCGACTCAAGCCGCGAAAAAAAGTTGTGACGTTTATAGTCCTGACCTTGCACCCTCAGATTTTCACCTGTTTCGGTCTCTTTAGAATTCTTTGGGGAGTGTTAGGTTAACATCAAGGGAGGACTGTCAAAACTACGTGTCGCATTTTTTTGATCAAAAATCCCTAGATTTCTACAGCAACGGAATTATGTCACTAACTACAATATGGCAACAACTTATCGAACAAAATGGCAGGTATTTATAAATAAATTTAATTAAATTTTGAAAAAAGAATGTCTTGAATTTGTATATAAAATACGAAGAAACTTTTCCCCGACCTATTATATTATACTATATAGCGTCTTCCTACGCTCATATTTTGCTTCACTCAGTTGCCTCTTACACTTACGGCACCCACGAGAAGATATGGTGTAGGATATTCTAATACGGCCGATATTCATCATCACCAATACATCATTTGCAGGTTCCTCGTATGCGTGACATACCTGGAGATCTACAACGAGGAGGTGCGCGACCTGCTGGGCAACAACCCACACCAGAGTCTTGAAGTTAAGGAGCGGCCTGACATCGGAGTCTTTGTAAAGGACCTTACAGGTAATTTTTTTATTATAGAAGAGGAGGCAAATAAGCATACGGCTCACCTGTAAGTGATCACCGATGCCCATGACACCAGAGGAATTTCCCGAGTCCTAAGTAGAATAAGACACCTAAATCGAATCATCATCAGCTTAATGCTGCAGTGTTTTGTATGGTGAGTGTAGAGAATCGGAGACTCTATTTACTGGAAACGAAGCATTCTATCTTAGTCCTCAGTGGTGACGACGGATTTGCATTTTGATTGCTAATCGAGAGTGGATCTTGATACGGCCCACAGCATCCACTTACCATCAGGTAGCCTGTGTGTTTGTTGTTGATCTTTATTCTTTCTATTTAATTGATTAAAACTACTTTTACGGATTTTATCGCGTTTAATTTTACTTTTAATTATTTTAATTTTTAATTCCCGACGTTTCGGGTGCTTTCCAGCACCCATGGTCACGGGGGACTGAGGTGACTGACGTCCCGATGTCATTGTTAAACCCGGAGTACCTTCAGCTTTTTTAATTTTTGTTTATGGTTCGATCTATGCAAAATGAACTGATCAGTTCATTTTGCATATGATTGCACCTCAGTCCCCCGTGACCATGGGTGCTGGAAAGCACCCGAAACGTCGGAAATTAAAAATAAAAATAATTAAAAGTAAAATTAAACGCGATAAAATTCGTAAAAGTAGTTTTAATCAATGTGTAGTGTTCGCGTAAATATAAGAAATCGTTATTTTTCTATTAAAAAAAAAAAAAACAATCTATCTATTTATTTTTATTATTAAAAGTCATTTAATTAAATATTGCGCTTTCTAGAAATTTATACCATTTTGCCTACTCAGGTTACGTGGTCCACAATGCGGACGAGTTGGAGAAGATAATGGCCGTTGGTAATAAAAACCGGCACATCGGTGCCACTGCGATGAACATCGAGAGCTCCAGATCCCACGCCATCTTCTCTATCACTGTGGAAAGCAGCAAGAAGGGCGCCGATGGGAAAACGCATGTTAAGATGGGGAAATTGCACCTTGTGGACTTGGCGGTAAGGCTTACTTTTCATTTGACAAAAGTTCATAGCTTACATTTAATAATTTTTTATAGTATACTATGGGTATGTTCCAAAATAGAACCCAGTGAACTGTCCAATGCAAATGACGTCATGAATCGACGCCATACTGTTGATTCGTTCCAAAACATAGGACAGTATATGACGTCATACATTTGCGCCATATTGGAAAAGTGTTGGCGATTATATTGTCATTTTGTACTTCATAAATCATTATACCCTCCTAATGGAGATACCAGCAAATATTCTATAATTTTTTGTATTTGAATAAATAAAAACAAATTCTGGCATGCTTCATTCAGGGCACACACACAATTAAGAATTGTTTTATTATAGCCGGATGTCCGACACAATATGGCGGCGGCACGCCAGTACAATATAGTGTCAATTGATGACGGCATTTTGTATTCGGCAGTATACTGAAAACGTTTCGGAACATACCCTATATAGCTGCACCGACAGAGAATATATATGAGTATCGTGCCATTTTCGGTAGGTTGCGCCGTAAGTTTCACTTCGAATTCAATCCGAAATTTTTACAGTCCGGGTTGTTCCTGGATCTCGACAAAATCGCTATCTACCAGGTTAAGTTGTTAATCTAAACCATCCAGAGACCCATTCGAATACACAAAAAATTTCATCAAATCCGGTCGAGCCATTTTCGAGCTTTTGCGAGACTAATGGGTAGCTATTGATTTTATATAGAGACTAGACCACAGCGCCATCTATATCAGGTCTCGATTTTCGGATTTTGTTTTTTAGCACTAAACCAACATATATGGGTAATATATAAAAGCAAGTTAAAGAGAACAATTTATATGGATGAAATGAGATTTTTTTCCATAAATATAAAATTTGTTAAAAAAAAAGTATATTGTGTGAATGTGAACGCAATAAGTTAATTCGTTCAGAAGCTACACGATGACTAGCAGACGCACCATATTATAAATATTGCGTCCCCGTGGTGTTGAAATTCGATCGAGGCGACTTATATTAGGAAAATGCCGAAAAGACCTGACTTTTATAAACAAAATTTGCTTTGAAGTGAAAACTTCTTTAGAACCGTTGTGATTTGAAACTCGATGAAACGATAAAGCGACACTAAAAAGAGACAAATGTATACATCTGTAGGATTTAGCCTGCGAGTGAGTGAGATGGAATACAGTGTTTCTTATAAATTTATTTATAAATACATATTTTTATTACATAAACCCTACAATTATCCTACTTCAGATACTCTGTATTCGTCTCATTCTCTCAAAATATAGTTATCTTAAGGTTTCACATCTACCGCATGTGAACTGCACAAATGTTTTTTTTTTATTTAAATTTTAATGCATTGTAGGTCTTGTTTTCTGCCTAGAAGTACATTCGGATTAGTACCACACTAACTATCTTAGTCTTCAAGCAGCAGAGCTCGCACTGCTGGGTTCCGGTCTGAAGAGTACAGACTGTAAAGAGCCAGTACAGTTATATCTGTCGCTTCTTTGCTTAAAGTTGGTTGACGACACGACACGAGCTCACAATTCACTTGATAAGACATAGACATCTACATCTATCCTCGATTAAGAATCAAAACGCAGATACGTTGTCACCCGTGAGCACTAACATGGAATGCCTCGTTTCCAGTAAAAAGGGCCTCCGGATCTCTGCACTCACCACACGAAGCACAGCTGCATTGAGCTGTTACAACGCCACCTACCGCACGAGCCGACCCATTCGTGCATGGCTCTACCACGTATATAGGTTATTGGCTTTTTAGGGTTCCGTAGTCAACTAGGAACCCGTATAGTTTCGCCATGCCTGTCTGTCCGTCTGTCCGTCCTCGCTTAATATCTGTGACCGTTAGCACTAGAAAGCTGAAATTTGGTACCAATATGTGTATCATTCACGCCGACAAAGTGGTAAAATAAAAATTGGAAAAAAATGTTTTATTAGGGTAGCCCGTATATGTAAAGTAGGAAGTGATTTTTTTTTAATTTCAACCCTAACGTGTGATATATTGTTGGAAAGGTATTTAAAAATGAATAGGGATTTACTAAAATCATTTTTTGATAATGTCAATAATTTCGGAAATAATCGCTCCAAAATTAAAAAACAATGTGTCCCCCCCCCTCCTCTAACTTTTGAACCATAAGTTTAGAAAATATGAAAAAAGTCTGAAAAGTAGAAGTTTATAAGGACTTTCTAGGAAAATCATTTTGAACTTGGATGGAAACAACAGTACCCACTACCGGGAGCAGTTGCAGGAGCGCGGAGCGCTGCTGGAGCGCGAACATAAAGGATACCCACCTTTAAACTCATTAGTGAGAACACTTATTGTGACGGACGGGAAACTACGGAACCCACCCTACACTGAGCGTGGCCCGACACGCTCTTGGCCGGTTTTTTTTATTCTAATATTATTGAAACAAATCTATTCCAGGGTTCAGAGCGCCAGAGCAAAACCCAAGCGACGGGCACACGGCTGAAGGAAGCGACGAAGATCAACCAGTCGCTGTCGGTTCTTGGTAACGTGATCTCCGCGCTGGTGGACGGCAAGTCCACGCACATCCCGTACCGGAACTCCAAGCTTACCAGGCTCCTGCAGGACTCTCTTGGCGGGAACTCTAAGACTGTTATGGTAAGGGAAATCTCTTCTGGTAGCTACACCGATCTCATCATTAATAAAGGCAAAATTAGTGCGTATATTTGTAATACGTTTTAAGTAGTACATAAAAATTATTTATAGGCATATAAATTCTTAAACATAGTTGTTCCATACGGGAATCGAACTCGCAGCGTCAGCTTTCAAAAGGATACCTTGAAAATTAATCGTAGTTTGGGCTTAGCTTAGCTAGTCGTCCTTGAAGCTCACGGACGATGTAAGGAGTGTTAAAATTAAAGCGTTGCAATTACTTCATGTGCACAAATTATGAGATAGCTATTTCGAGCACGGGCTCGGAAATAAGCTACGTAAGCGCTAAACACCATGTTTTTTTACAAAGCTACGTTATGGATTTCAAAAATGTTTTATGTGAACTTAGATATAATTATTGAACTATGCTTTAAAAATAATTCCATAAAGTAATTCGTAAAAATATTGCGGTGGCACGCAGAAATTTAACTAATTAGCCTAATTTACATTTTTTTATCCTATCGAGAAATTATAGTTATTATTGTTATAATGTTTTACTTTTATGCAATATAAGATTTTTTATAGCATTGAGAAGCAAAAGTGCGCACAGTCCACCTGATGGTAAGTGGTTGCTGCGGCCCATAGACATATACATTTATCCTCGATTACAAATCAAAATGCAGATGCGTTGTCACCCCTGAGGACTAAGATGGAATGCCTCGCTCCCAGTAAAATTAGTCTCCGGTTCTCTACACCCACCATACGAAACACAGCGGTGTTGAGCTGCTATTTCACGCTGGTATTCTGTGAGAACGTGATCCTTCCCCCATTCGTACCCCACACGTGACCCACTCGTACTACAACTATACTTAATACTAATATAGCTGCAACATGGCTCTACCACGTGTTAGATTATTGAGTATAAATATTTCTTTTTATGTCAAGTTTCTAAACGATTAATCGTCATTTTTAAGATATTATTTTATTATCTACATTATGCTATTTACTATATAAAAATAGTTGAGACTCAATTTTAATTTCTAACGTTTAAGAATTACAAAAATAACTTTCTTACAAATAATCAATATTTTACAAATAATTATATTCACATAATTAATCACTCAAATAAAAATAATACTTATGTTTCAAATGTTATTGTAACTAGGCAACTAGCGAGCCAAGATGGCGGCATTGGACTGAATAAGTGACGAAGCGTGATTTGTTAAAATTGATTAAATAATTAAAAAGACATCCAGACCTATTAATTTTATACACGTAAAAAATCACATTAAACCAAACGCTGATCCACAGCGCCATCAAGCCGTCATTAACATTAAAGTGTTTTTTTTTTTTAATTTTTTGGTCTTTGAGACCATATAATTTGAATCGTCTACCAGTAATAGAAAATTCTGCCATATTTCTATGATTTTTGGGTTCAGATTGCAACGATCGGTCCAGCGGAATCGAACTACGTGGAGACGATAAGTACTCTCCGCTACGCGAACCGCGCAAAGAACATCGAGAACAAGACTCACGTCAACAGCGAACCCGGAGACGCTCTGCTCACTAGGTATGTCATAGTTTACTGGTCACAAGTTCGAATTTCAATCCTTATTCTCCAATAGCTTGACTTAATTCTTTCCTCTCTGTTCCATCATCATCGTTGTCTGGCGGTGACGCACGGCTGATCTCCATTTCTTTCTTGTCGATACCACGCATTCGAACAAAACGGTTTGCTCCATCGTTCATGATACAGCAATGGAGTGGAATAAGTTGTTACAATGTGGATGGATATCAAGGCATTTTTAATACAAGGTGTCTCAAAAGAAAGTTCACATTTAAATCTTTTTTTAAAAGAAAAGTCTTAGCTTTATTGAAAAAATGTTTATTTTATATTGAAGTACACTGTTTGGGAATTTATTTTTTAAAAATAACATTGTCCAAATGTAAACCGTTGCGCTCTCGGCATTCATTTAGTCGGGCACTAAAATTGCCTATGACAGCTCGGCAGGTAGTCTCCGTGATGGCTGCCATTTCATGACGGATATTTTCTTTTAATTGTGCCAGGGAAGTCGGTTTATTAGCGTAAACTTTTGATTTGACATAACCCCACAGGAAAAAATCCATAGGCGTTAAATCGGGACTCCGTGGAGGCCAATTTATGTCACCTCGCCAGGAGATTAATTTGTTCGGAAAAATTTCTCGAACTCGAGGCAGAGATCTGTTGGACGTGTGTGAAGTTGCTCCATCCTGCTGGAACCATGTTCTTTGGTTGTAACCAGGAAAGTTTTGCAGTTGGGGTACGAAAAACTCGTCTAACATCTCCACATAACGCTCTGAATTCACTGTGAGTGTGCGTCCCCTTCCATCTTCAAAAAAGTAAGGGCCGATAATTCCTCGCGCCGACATCGCTGCCCATACGGTGACTTTGGGTGAATGTAGCGGTTTCTGATGTTTTTGTTTTGGGTTGGTTGCACTCCAGTAACGACAATTTTGCTTGTTTACATGCCCATTCAGGTGAAAATGGGCTTCATCGGAAAACAAGATGTTGGTGAACGTTGGAAAGCGCTCAATCATCTGATTTACAAAGGCAAGCCTCTGACCAGCATCTTGAGGCTTCAGTTCTTGCACTAACTGAATTTTGTACGGGTGCAGCTTTAAATCTTTGTGTAAAATGCGGCATAATGAAGATCTGTGCACATTTAAAGCAACAGCACGCTTCCGAATCGAGAGGTTTGGATCATCTCGAATAGACTGAGTAACACTGTCCACGTTTTCGGCTGTTCTTGATGTTCTTGGTCGCCCAGATTTTGGTTTCTCCAGAGTTGACCCAGTCTCTTCAAACTTCTCAACCCATTTTGCAATGAGACGAGTGCTAGGCGCATCATTTAAGTGACGAATATGTCGAATACTGCAGAATTTTCTACGCGCTACAGTCGCCGAATTACCGTTTTTGTAAAACTCACGTACGCACAACGCACGGTCCGCACCAGAGAAACGCTCCATAGCGACTAAATTCCCAAGAGCCAGACTACCGACTGACATACCCCCCCGCGCCCCTCAGAATAGTTGCTTTCGCGTAATAAGATAAGCAAATGTGAACTTACTTTTGAGACACCTAGTATAATGGGGTTGACAAACAAAGACACAGTTTATCTGATGGTATGTGGATGCTGTGGCCCATAGACATCTACGTTTACCCTCGATTAAGAATCAAAATGCAGATGCTTTGTCACCCGTGAGGACTAAAATGGAATGCCTCGTTTTCAGTAAATAGAACTCTATTGTGGTTCACCATATGAAACATAGCAGAATTGATCTGCTATTTTACGCTGGTATTCTACCCTGGTCAACCGACCCATTCGTACTACAACCATATGAACCTCAGATGAACTAAAAAAGTTATATAAAGCGTGGCCTTTGTTATTGGAGATGCCACAAAACTCAACTCCTTAAGTTAAAAATTGTTATTTTTAATTCGGTGATGTATTTGTTTCAATTCTTGAGTAGTACATATATACTATTTAAATATCAAAAAATATTTATAGTTATAAGTTTCCAACGAATATTTTAATAACACATGAAATGAATGAAATAAAATATCTGTGCTTCTACTCCGATCACATGTTACACCCTATTTTTTTCCAGACGGTAAAAAAGGTCATCCAGTATATAATGATATATATTTATCAGTTTATATTATTATTATGTACACACTTGTACTACTGGGCTACGCCGCAGTCGGACCAATAAATTTCTTATAAAACAAAAACACTTAATTTATCCGTATTTTAATTACCTCACCGGACCAATTAACTTATTAATTGTATTTTTTATAATACAGGTTCCAGCAAGAGATTGACCAACTTAAGAAACAGCTGGAGGAAGCTGCCAACGGTACGTTCCTTGTTCTTAATTCCTTCTTTCCTCATTTGACCTTGACCAAGCGTGCGACTAAACGTTTGCATGACATTGTTAATGTTGGTTTAAAAATATAATGTAATAAAGAAAAAAGTTGACCGTCACAAGACCTTGATCGGTTCGGATCGGATCGGATAACAACCGGCAGATGTGAAAATCATAGTTAGTGGTAGAATTTATAATTAATGAAAATCAACAATAAATATTGAATAAAATAAATAAAATAACGCGTCAAGTATACTATTGTTAGGAGCTTGAGGTTCGTGACAATAAAAGCTGCCGATTGAATAACAAAAATTGACACTAATTACCTAACACCAATTACAATTTATAACACTAATAATAAAACACAATTCGCAGTTATATTGCTTCGAAGTATTTGCTTGTGTCGCCAATTCAATACTGTGTCGGTCACGGTCTTTACTGGCCGTATATAGGGCCTTGCCATTGAAACATCTAGAATGTTCGAGCACATACCGGTCCCGACCGACTAGGTGTAGAAAGTTCTAGTATGGAATTTGCTAGAAAGCTCTCTTAGTTCTGCTACTCGATAATAGATGGCGCTAGTGGCATTACTTATGGCGCACAATACTATAGTCGAATAGAAAGGCACAGGCAGTACACAACTCACACAGGGAGTAATGAAGTGTATTCACGTATTAAGTGAAGTGTAGTGAGGGGGCATGACGGCATAAGAAAGCGTCATGTTTGTTTGCCATCACGAAATACGTGTCGGTTTTACTGCCTAGCTGCGACAAACATGACTGAAATAAAAGAACGTTTTAAATTGCTCAACATCTGTCATAATTTTTTCTTACGGACCAAAGAAAATCTTTCCCTCCAATGTTCTGTGCACTCCTCCAAATTTTATGATAAATTATTTTCGGTTCTTGGAGTAAGACTTTGGAACTCATTACCCCAGTCAATTAAAAGTGCTCAGTAAGGGTTGCCAGGTCTTAAAACCGTAAAGCCGGACAGACAGCGAACTTAGCTGGACATTTTGGCAAAAAGGTCGGACACCCTTAATTTTTTAGTCTTACTAAAACGACTATTGTTTTAAAAGGAAAACAATGTTTGGTATCATTTACCATTAAATTTTCTTAAGTTTTAATAAAATAACAACAATTGAATAAAATCAGAAATTATCAAATTTAAAAAGCGTAACAAAAGCCGGACACGCAACCACTTTATCAGAACGCCTGGCAATACTATACTCAATCCTTAAATGTGTTCAAGAAATTGGTTAAGGAACACTATTTTTCTTTCTAAACCCTCTCTCTTCTTCCTCTTAGTTATGATCATTGATCTACCTATAGAATAGTGTATTTTTAATACATAAGTTGGTATTTTTTTTTCTAATTTAGTTGCACCCTTCACGTTTATCTTTTTTCTTATTTTTATTTATTTATTCTGAGTTGTCTGGAAGTATGCTATGTGTACCAATAGGACCGTCAATTTTTTCCTCAATATTTGTAAAATTTGTCTTTCTTTGGTATACAACAAAGAGTATTGTAATATTCGGTGGTTCGGTCACGTAGAAAGAATGAATGAGGAAAGAGTGACAAAGCAAATTTATATGGCAGATGTGAACGGCCGAGTCGGGAAGGGACGCCCTAGAAAAAAGTTTATCGACCAAATTGGCGATATTTTGAAAATGGGCCACGTTAGAAGTACCCTTTACCGACGAGCATGTGTGCGTAGATATATGGATGTAAAGGAGGCGAGAGAGATGTGTCAGGATCGTGCCAAATGGAAGTCCGTAGTCTCTGCCTACCCCTCTGGGTGACAGGCGTGAGTGTTTATGGTTTATAGTATTGTATACATGTTTCACATCAAAAAGAGGTTGTATTGACCAGGCGTTACTTGGTGCGATGTGTTGTCTTGTGTGATGTGGAGAGGCGTTGATTGTGATTAGTGAGAGATGAGCGCGACGGCCATCTTATTGTTGTAAAATTTATGTGTTTGATGGATTTAGCGATAGAAAGCCTTTTTACGTGGTAGAGCCACGCTGCAGCTATATTATGGTTGCAGCATGAATGTGTCGGCTCAACCGGGGAAGGACCACGCTCTCACAGAATACCAGCGCAAATAGCAGCTTAATGCTGCTGTGTTTCGTATGGTGAGTGTAGAGAACCGGAGGCCAGTTTTACTGAGATCGAGGCATTCCATCTTAGTCCTCAGGGGTGACAACGCATCTGCATTCTGATTCTTAATCGAATGTAGATGTCTATGGGCCACAGCATCCACTTAACATCAGGTGGACTGTGTGCTCTTTGTCACCCTATCCTATAAAAAAGCCAAAAGTTGCTTATTTCCTTTGAAAAGTAAATTACGGCTTAACAATAGTTTCTTTTATCAGCTCGAAAATGACCATTATTCGACATAGGCCTTTTGCGTTGTAGATCGTAGATCAGATTAGTGATTTTCCTTGGGCATGTGCGAGTTGGTCCTCCACGACGCAGGAGATAATTCTATGGCGGATAATAATTACTAAGCAGTGGTTAAGTAGTAGTTAATATAGTATGATCTCAATCGGTGTCAAGTCGTTCAGAAGTTACACGATCACTAATAGACGCACCAACGATTAAACTCGTATATAGGGGGATTACTCACAGTAAAATAAGAGAAAATAAGTGTAGAGAAATAGAGATTTGTAGTCACAGTAATGTTAAGATCATTACAAGTGTAACAAGAATTTTCTCCATTTATACTGAATGTTAACTAAAAAGAAATAATTTTTCTAATATTATCTGTGATGATAATTCAAATCACACGTTTTTAGCTTGTCGTTGATTTTTGGAACACTGTATAAAGATATTTATTGTAGAAATCGAGGAAGAGGGGGAGGAAGAAGAAATCAGCGAGGGTGAGCTCACCGACGACACTCTCACCGACCCGGAGCTAGACACACTCGACCCAGAAGAGAGGAAAATCCAACGTAGGATTAGAAGAGAAGAGAAGGTATAGTCCCATTATTATAATCTCAAAGAGAAGAGAAGGTTATAGTCCCATTATTATCCAAATCTCAAAGAGAAGAGAAGGTATAGTCCCATTATTATCATCTCAAAGAGAAGAGAAGGTATAGTCTCATTATTATCATCTCAAAGAGAAGAGAAGGTATAGTCCCTATATTATCATCTCAAAGAGAAGAGAAGGTATAGTCCCTATATTATCATCTCATGCCCGTCCATCCAATGTTGGACATAGACTCCTTCCAAATCAGGTAGAGTTTAGCATAATCACCAACTTCATAAATCACAACGGCAGACAACTTGGCGATAAAGTCGTCTCCTTCATGTTGTTCGGGAAAGGGAGCTACGCTGCAGCTATACTATGCTTGTAGCACGAATGGGTCGGCTCGACCTGGGAAGGACCACGCTCTCACAGAATACTATCGTAAAATAGCAGCTTAATGCCGCTGTGTTTCGTATGGTGAGTGTAGAGAACCGGAGACCCGTTTTATTGGATACAAGGCATTCCATCTTAGTCCTCACGGGTGACAACGCATCTGCGTTTTGATTCTTAATTGAGGATAAATGTAAATGTCTATGCGCCACAGCATTCGTTTACCATCAGGTGGACTGTGCGCCACTTTGTCACCTCTACCTTTACAGCCGATTAGTCCACTTCTAAATATAGTCCTCCCCATAGGTTATCACAAAGGAAGGATATTTCCATAGTTACCACGCTTGGTAAATATGGTTGCCAACTGCAGTTTTTTTATTCCGCTGGTATCAGGAAGATGCTGCTTCCCATCTCCTGGTTCGGTATCCCTCTTTTCACCTCTTACGATGACTATGGCATGATATATGGTAGTGGTTATTGTCACACGGCCGCTACTTGATTGCCATTCTATAAAAAATGCATTCTTAGAAATCATAAACATAAACACTCACGTCTGTCACCCAGATGGGTAGGCAGAGATTACAGACTTCCATAATGATTTCTTATATTTACGCGAACACTACACATTGATTACAACTATTCTTTACGGATTTTATCGCGTTTATTTTACTTTTAATTACTTTTATTTTTAATTCCCGACGTTCTGCAGTTTGCGATCATATCCTAGACGGCCCCAACCATTACATCAGATTTGATAGACCACAAATCCTCGCGAAAGAACATCGATTCCTACCAAGGATGATACGTGAGGCTATTGAAATTAAAAACATCCAAATTTCAATAGAGAAGGAGGCTGGGTACTACCACCTGCTTGGGATCCTATAATCAATAAAATTAAAACTAATCCCAAACATACCACTGCGAGACTTCAAGACACAGTCAGTTCATTTTGCATAGATCGGACCATAAACAATAATTTTAAAAAAAGCTGAAGGTACTCCGGGTTTAACAATGACATCGGGACGTCAGTCATCTCAGTCCATGACCATGTGTGCTGGAAAGCGCCCGAAACGTCGGGAATTAAAAATAAAAGTAAATAAAAGTAAAATAAACGCGATAAAATCCGTAAAAAGTAGTTTTAATCAATGTACAGACATCCATTTGGCACGACCCTGACTGACCTGACCTGTCTCGCCTCCTCCACATCCATACACCTACGCATACATGCTCGTCGGTTAAGGGTACTCCTACTTCTTAGAAATCGTATATTTATAAACGAAATCGATCTTTTACAAATAATTTTATTTCAGGAGAAGCTGAACAGAGAGAAAGCGCACCAAGCGCGGAAAGTTCTAGAAGAAAAGAAGGCTGAGTTGCAGAGGACCAAGTGAGTATACCATTTATAAAAAGAAAACTTAATTTTTATTTTAGTAAAAGCCGATTTCAAAGAACTAAACAAGTGGTAAATTAAAAAATTTGTACAACCGACTTCAATATAAATAAAATGAGAACATCATCAATGTAGTCAAAGTCAATTAAATTATAAAGGATAACTCAAAAACAACTAGTTAGATTTTGATCAAATTTATATGGGACCACGTGAGAAGCACCAGATTTCAAATAAAAAAGAATTATCAAAATCGGTTCACCTGGAAAAAAGATATAGAATAAAATATAATAATTTTTTATTCAATATAGCTTACAAGTAATTCTTATTGAAAGTAATTTTTTACTTTACCACTGGTTCGAAAAAAATCTCTATCCTGGGAAGAACCAGCACGAAACCCAGCGGAACTTTAAAAAAAAAAGTTTTAAAATGTCCACATAATATTTACAAAATTTATTTTAGAAACAGCTTGGAAGCGACCACCTCATTCCAAGGGTTATTATCTACCATATACTAATTTATATTATAATAACCCTTTTTATAGAGTTTTTCTTTAATTCAATATTTAAAGATTTATGAGGTAACCATCACACATAAAAAATAAAGTTGGATTGAGTACCTTCTCCTTTTTTGAAGTCGCTTAGTAATATATTTGTGCAAATTTTTTATTTAGTTTTATTCCATTTAATTCTTCGAACGACGCATTTACATTTTTTAAAGTCCTCATTTTATGACATTTTTGAGTGGACTAAGGCAATTACAAGCTCAAATATCTGTTATATTGGACTACCCTAAAGTACGAATATAAACTATTAAAAAAAAGAAATCATTAAAATAAGTTTCACTTGACAAACATAATCTTTTTTTGAAGTCGGCTAAAAAAGAATGTCTAAATGCATTTTATTTGGCAACAATGGTTTAGTGTATACAAGAAACGAATGTATTCTCATCGAACAAAATATAAGGCCATACGTTTCAATATTTCAAGGTTCCCTGTTAGGTCGGAGGCCCTGGACTCGTGCCTAATGTGCTTTTAGGTTGAAACCGGACCTAAGTACACGATCACAAGAATCAACTGTAGCTATATTTAGAGTCGTCAGCGAAAAAGTTTGAAAACCGCTGGCTGAATCACTTACAAATCAAACAAAACAGTGGTTCTCCAACTTTTTGGCTTAATCCTTAATTTAACAGATTATAAATTCACCCAACAGAAAACAACAAGAAGAGTTAAAGGAGAAACTGCAGCGCCTAGAGTCGAAGGTGCTTGTAGGCGGCGAGAATCTTCTGGACAAGGCTGACGCTCAGAGAAAACTCCTCGAGCAAGCTGCAAAGGAGTTGGAGCAGAGACGTCTCAACGAGCTCCGTCTGCAGGAAGACTTGCAGAAGAAAGAGGTTAGTAGATGTAAGATACGAAAGAAATAATTTAAATTTAAAAATGGTTCTATTCTGTGCTAATTCGGTTCATTGCATGTCTCGAATGCAGTCTTCATGACGGCTCCACGGCGCAGTGGCAGAGTTACAGCACTGGGGACAGCGGGTTCGAATCCCGCACAGAACAAGCATTTGTATAGACCACAAATAATTGTTCCGAGTCTGGATGTTTGCCCTTGTGCAATTTATGTTTGTAATGTGCCTCCATGGAGAAAATACTAGTTTGTAAACTATAGAAAAAGAAAAAAGAAGATAAAGAAAGAAATTCTTTTGCGATAGTATTCCAAACGAATACCTAGGGCGCGGGGCGGGTTTTTAGTAAACAATAATAATATACATTTTGCTTCATCTATTATTCTTAACGGGCTTGTAATTAACTTGACCTGTATAATTTTACGATGCAATTTGACCCACTTCCGGACGTCTTCATAATTATAGCCCCGACAGGATAAGTCAGCTTTACTTTTTTTAAGTTTAATTATATTATCCTTTAGAGTGATTTAAAGAATATTAAGAGTTCAAAGTGTGAACTGAAATGTCGTTTAGATTATGGTGTTGGTAATATTTTAATTTATTTGTACAAAGTCAGTCAAATGTATTTATTTATTTGTCGCAGGCCGAGAGGTTGGATCTGGAGGAGAGGTACTCGAGCCTGCAAGAGGAAAACGCTGCGAAGACAAGGAAGCTCAAGCGCGCCGTCCAGCTGCTTAACTCCGCTAAGGTATCTAAAACTAAGTAAAAAAACCTATTGTTTTTTATAGATCTCACATTGAAAAACGAGCACACAGTCCACCTGATGGTAAGTGGATGCCGTGACCCATCGACATCTACCTCCATTAAGAATCAAAACACAGATGCGTTGTCACATCTGAGGACTGAGATGGAATGCCTCGTTTCCAATTAAAATGGTCTCCGGCTATCTGCTCTCTTCATATGAAACACAGCAGCATTATGTTTGCTATTCACGCTGATATTCCGTGCATCAGGTTACTTTTATAAATTTCGATGTGAGAAACGAACTATATAAAATAGAACTAACGAAATACCGGACAGTCCGCCCCATACCCCGTCCCGTGGGTGTCTTAAAAGGGTACAGAGGGTACCTATCTAGAAATAAGGCAACAACGTCTTCCCAATAACAAATAAGAAATAAAAAAATACATGTATATATATATATATATATATATATATATATGTGTGTATAGTATAAGAGATAAACCTTCTTAAATAATGATATAAAAATTTGACAGTAAGACCTTTATAATATACTATCTAGATAAAGTTGTGAGTAATGTATTACCAAGTAGATACAGTAATGAATAATGAAATATCAATTTAAAAAAAATTTATTATTAGTAATGTATTAGCATAAAAGCTACACGAAGATAAGTAGATTAAAAAGAGAGGTAGAAAAGTATAAAACTATAATAACAGTAAGCAAAACTTATAAGGAACCTAATTGTGTATAATAAAAAAACAATTATAAAAAAAATTAAAATAAAAAGATATTTAAAAAAAATGGAAATAATAAAATCAGATATAAAAGTTAAAAGAAAGAAAAGTACTGCATTAACAGCAGTAGTATGAAAGAATAAAAATAAAATAAATAATAAAATACAGTTGCCAAGTTTAACAACTGTTGCAAAAAAATATGAGACACTCTATAGGGGAGGCCCTTATTCAGCACTAGACTTTTGATAGGCTATAACGGTAACTCAGTCACAGCGCTGCCTATCGAGTCCAGATTTTGCGATTTCATTTTCTCGTATGTGTATGTGTATATGTATTTGTCTGGGATTTAAAAGGTATATTTATGTGTGAGCTCAGACAAAAGATAATGTTGTTAGTTCCTAACATGTAAAAGGCAACTAATCGGATATTGGGTTCGTGACTAAGGTACGTGAGTGTAATGTGATCACCTTAAACTTTGCCGCCGTATAAAACCTAAACTAAGAGGACAGTGACAAAAGCACAAAGTCGTATACTGTAACTAATGTATTAAGAAAATAATAGCAAACAAGCTTTGGCAATAATTAGGAACACTTCGAAGTAAAATCTATTTACAAAACTAACTACACTACACCATACTAAAATCGACGAAGGTATATAATGTCAACCGTCAATATGGCGTCTATAAGGCATCGCTCTTTTGACTCTCTATTAATTGATTGACCGATGAAGAGCTATGGTATCACAAAGCCATAGGCTGTAGTTTTTGAGTTACGAGATGGAGACCATATTAAACGGATGACCATATTACCCTCTCATACTATAAAGAGACCATGAGCTGGCTTCCTATAAGGTTTTTTTTTTTTATAGGATAGGGTGACAAACGAGCACACAGTCCACCTGATGGTAAGTGGTTGCTGTGGCCCATAGACATCTAAAATATCTATCTTCCATTACAAATCAAAATGCAGATGCGTTGTCACCCGTGAGGACTGAGATGGAATGCCTCGTTTCCGGTAAAAAGGGTCTCCGGTTCTCTACACTCACCATACGAAATACAGCAGCATTAAGCTACTATTTTACGCTGGTATTCTGTGAGAGCGTGGTCCTTCCCCGGTCGAGCCGACCCATTCGTGCTACAACTATACTACTAATATAACTGCAGCAAGGCTCTACCACGTTAAAATAATATAATTAATGGATATTCTTATCTACTACGGCAACTACGGCAAATGTTCCTCTTAATAAGCGGTCTATGTCAAGAGGGAGTGCAGCAGTGAACTTTTGATAGGCTGTAATGATGATGATGATGACTTGAGTCATTTTGGTCTAACTAAACCGTAGTCTAGTACAATACAACTATCTTCTCGACAACACTGACACAATATTGTGGGCATATGATTTCAATCAGTCAAGTCGATCAGAAGTTACATTATCACTAACAGACGCGGTAGTGCCATGCTGCAGCTACTATGGTTGTAATACGAACGGGTCGGATCAACCAGGAATCATCCGCTCTCACGGAATATCGGAGTAAAGTAGCAGCTTAATGGTGTTGTGTTTCGTATGGTGAGCGTAGAGAACCCGATACTTAGTCCTCAGGGGTAACAACGCATATGCATTTGGATTCTTAATCGAGGATAGATGTAGATGTCTATGGGCCACAGTAACAACTTAACATCTGGTGGACTGCGTGCTCGTTTGTCAATTGTATTCTATATAAAGAGACGCAATAACGATTATATATTTAAAGAATATTTTGCCTTACTTATAATCGTTGATGGCGTACTTAAATTAAATATTAAATAACTCTATGCCTGTCTCTTTCTATTGTAATTTAGTAGAGAGAGAGAGAGAGAGAGAGAGAGAGCAACTTTAAATATTTTCTGATTGACGTCGATTTTATATGGCCTCAAAGAATTTAAAAGTTAGTTTTAATAAGGTCGATATTGATTTAACCAAGATGACATTTTCTTATCACAGGCGGAGCTGGCAGACCAGCAACGCGAACAACAGCGAGAAATGGAGGGCATATTAGACGGAGTGCGTGCCTTGCGCCGCGAGATACAACTCGCCGACCTCGTGCTGGACTCCTACATCCCTAAAGAGTATCAGGTAAGCTATGAGGGATCCCCTTAATCATCAACTTGGTGATTGGCTCCCCCGTAAAAGAACGAATGGATGTTAGTTCATGGGTAATTTATGTATTGGTACGACTTTCCATTGACTTCCGTCGAATTCAGGGTGGGAGGAGAGTGGGGGGAGGGTGGAGGAAGGTGTACTACCCCCATTAAAAAGAAAAAATGCAGAGCCCCCCATTTTCGAGTTTCTTCATTTTTAATAATAAATATAAGGAAATTTCCTCATTTTATGGATTAATATTAAGTCTAAAAACCAGGGATATTTTCCTTATGAATTTCCTGATAAAGGAGGCCCCCCCTACTGAAGGGGGAGCCCCCTTCATCAGGAAAAAATTTCGTAATGTTTTTGACAATATAAACCTGATTTATGGGGAGAGAGAGTTGGGGATGGGAAGCCCCGCCTCCCTCCCCGTGGCGTAGTCAAGGAAAGCCCGGTCGACGACTCTCGAACTACTGAGGGGTTTATAAAACAATAACCACGCAGAGGATAGCGGAATCGAGTGAGAGAGCGAAGCGAGCGAAAAGACCCCGCCATCCCCTTCTAACCTAATCTGTCCGAGTCGGGGTGCTCTTAGTCCCGAGCTCGCTTCGCTCGCTCTTACACCAAAATATTAGCTTTGATAATTAGGTACTTTAAATTATAAACATAATTTATAGCTACCACCATTTTTCCAACCGTTGAAAAAGGATCCAGGGGGGTAGCAAAGTCGTCGCAAAACAGTTGAAGGCAGATAAAAACGTTAGGGAGCACATTTACGTAAACTCGGAACAACGGAATGACGTAAGTCTATCTGTCACTGTCAACAAAATCGTCGGCCTAGCGATTCACTGTACGCATTTTGAGATGTCTTTGACAGATGCAACGTCAAAAACGTTAGAATTTAGTTAAATGTATGTTCCATTTCACGTTTAGTTAGTGATTTACCAATATTTAAAAAAACTAAAAATACTTCGACAATGCTCCGGCAGCAAAAATCGCGTGGGGGTGCTTCAGATAAACCCCTTGAACCCCCACAGTGACAGAATCCTCAAATTCAGGCGATTTACTTTCGACCCAACCACATGACAACTATTGAAATGAGTACAAAATATAATTATTTACGTAAATTTATATAAAATAAAATATTACCGAACGTATGACAACTTAACCGACGTAAAACGGAACTTTCAATGGTGATAATTCGATATAATTTGTGGTAGGGATTTACATAAATAATGCACAAATAATTGATTTTCAATAAATAAAATTCTCAAAAAGTACGCGTCTCCGCATGTTGAAACTGCGTGTTCTGTAAAAAAAAAATATCAACCCCCAACTCGACGGACGTCAATGGAAAGCTGAGCCTATGTTTTTCTAACTCGATGACCTAGTGCTGGACTCCTACATCCTAAGAAACTGAGGCAAGGTTCCCCTTCATCATTAACCTAATTATAGCCATCCTCGTAATATTATAATTCACGTGGTAGAGCTACACCGCAGCTATGCTAGCTATATATAACTATAACACGAATGGGCCGGCTTGACCATAGACGAATACCAGCGTAATATAGCAGTTTAATGCTGCTGTGTTTCGTATGGTGAGTGTAGAGAACCGAAGACCCGTTTCAATAGAAACAAAGTGTTTTCCATCTTAGTCATTGGCGACAACACATCTGCATTTTTATTCTTAATCGAGGATAGGTGATGTCATGGGCCAAGCATTAATTTACCATCAGATGAATTATAATAATAATAATAATAATAATAGTCTTTATTTGACATAAAACATGGTAATTAATACAGATGTTTCAGAGTTATTGTTTATTATGTTTCAGAGTCATGTTATTTATTCCACAGGCGTTAATCGATAAGTACGTGCATTGGAACGAGCAGCTCGGCGAATGGCAAGTGAAGTGCGTCGCGTACACCGGGAACAACATGAGCGCACCTCACCAGCGGGCGTCGCAGAAAACGCACAAACACGTGAGTGCACGACTGTACACGACTAACTTTTGACCGGCCGATACAGTAACTCGGTTGTACACGACTGTACATGACACCACACAGATTGTCTGCTAATGTTTACACGACTGTAGAAAACACCGTGACCTATATAACTTGAACACGACTGTAAAAGATACTGTTACTCGTTCCTGACACTAGATGGCGCTAGTGTATGACGTTGACTTATTCACGCAACAATACGATCGCAGTGACTGAATATATCCCCTTCACGGACTCAATAGTTGTGTGCACTCGACTGTACACGACACTAAACTGATTTCCTTTCAGTATGGTACATGACATGACCGCGGGCTTAACATACTGTACATCGAACAGATTATTTACCAATATTCAACTATTGTGGGCAACACAACATACCTATTGATCAAACGACATGTACACGATGTACACGACATGATTGCGTTAATTGCTGCTGGATATATCCCCTTCAAGGACTATAATTGTGAGCACACGACTGTACACAATGATATTACCCAGCCTTCGGCTGTACACGAAACTACCCTGGTCTTCAGTCAGTATGGTAAACAATATGACCGCGGCTGTATGCGACTGTACATCTCACATATTGTGTACAAATACGCCCTATTGACCTATTGATTAAATTACACGACTGTACACAGCACGACGCCCCCCTCACGTCCCTTTCACGGACTCTATAGTATCGTGCACACAGCTGTACACTATGATACTACCCAGACTGTACACAACTCTACTCGAAATATTATTTGTCGACTACCAGTATGTGTGCAGATGAACGCTACAATACGCCACTGTCACAGTAACTCACAGTGTGTAAATAACTGTACACAATACCGCACTGATTTGTTGACAGTATTCAGCTGACTGTATATGTTTTAAGTTTTGATTTATCGCGTGCTTGTCGTTGAAGGAGAACGACATTTAAGAGAGACGAAACATTTCATTTGACTCCTTTCCCTCCTTTAACCCGTGCCAGTCAAATTAAACAAAAAATTAAAGTGTGTGTAATTTCCGTTAACCTTAAAACGGAAAAATGTCCGTTAGTAAAAAATTCTAGTTTTACTGACGGACATTATTATCATATCCGATACAGCATATCACACATTCATTGCTGAGCATTGGCCTCCCCCATAGCCGCAGTTGCCTCACTTGGAAAGCAGTTTTTTTATTTTATTTTTTTATAAGAAGACCACTGTTCTCCTGGCTTGTTTATCTGTATCGCCTCTTACGACACCCACGGGGGAGATATTGGCCTGTCGATATCCTTATAATCGCTGCTAGACATGTGTCAATCATGAATGATTCGTACGTTTGAGCTGGTACACTTAAAAGTAATGATGGTTCATTCATGTTTTTAAATGTACAACCAATCACAAACAATTGACGGAACCTTTTTAACTCGTGATTGGTGTGAATTGTGACTGAGTCGAAAACCGATCGAATCCCGAATGATTCGAATGAATTGTTTTTAGTGTAGGGTACTGGAGCCCGAAATGATCCATTTGAATGATCCGAATGTACCGGTACGCGTGACGAAATGTGCTAGAATGATTCGGTCACAAGAAATGAATGATTGACACTTGTCTAATCGCTACCACATAATGGGTGCTTTTGCCAGAAAAAGCGCTAGCAAGCGCTTGTAAGCAAAATGGCGATCGTAAGCGGTAAGCGCCTGTCAAATCGTAAGTAGCTATTTTCCTCTAGGACACGAAGTTAGTTTTAACCGGGGAACCTAACCTAATTTAAATATATGTTTGTAAAGTATACACATTAAAAACTTACCAATCATGAATTTGTAATAACATGTATATGTCTATTCATGTCATTATATTATTTTAAACTAATATTGCACAATACAACTTATAAACTCTACTTCAAAACCACACACAGCGCTTTTTTCTGCCAAACGCACCCAATATTCCTATTATCATATCATAATGACATTATTATAGGTGGAGCCACCGGATCTATCGGACCGCTACCTGTCCTACTCGGCTGTGAGCACTCGTCCAAGCACTAGACTTGCGAGACCCCAGTCTGCGGTGCCACGGCCCCATACAACGGCAATACGCCAAAGACAGTAGCTTACTACTTGCCACGTCGCATTCACGGAATAATAGCGCTTATTGCACCTCCTTTATTAAATAAGATGTTTCAAAACGTCCAGGTCCATATACACTACAACCAAAAACTGAGGAAAATACGTGTAATCCGGGAAAAATACATGTAAACTATAAATATATACTTAGTGGTCCAACATGATTTCTTAAACAACTATTTTAGTCAACTTTCAATGTGGCGTCTCAACGATATACGAACCATAGATTGTCTAATGTCAAACGTTACTAAACAAATGACATAATATTGCCGCCATGATAATTTTTTGTTGTTTATTGCAATTTTATGCATACATTTATAATATAATCTTTTAAAAACAATGCATTTTTTAATTAAGTGTACAAGGACTGGACGAGATTTCGTACATTGAAACATCTAATTTTTCGTGTAGATTAGTACCCAATTGGTGTTTTAAAATCCACATATTATCAATGTACTGTGCTGCGATCTATACTTATTAAAAAAATAGTTTTTAAATTTTTTGACACATGTAATATTTTTATCTTATTGTTTATTGTTTTATATTTATTGTCTAATATACTGCCAGTATATTATGCCCCTTAATGAGGCGAAATTGATTCAGTCGTACATATTTAGAACTACAATAAATTCAATGGGTACTTGGAAACAAAAATATTGTTCTCCAAACGTACCTAATAGTTTTTGTGTGCGTCAATCGTAATCGTAAACGTAGTATCATCGATTATTTATTTCGATTGTTTAATGATTAATGAGTCAGTCGAGGCCTTTAATGAGTTTTATTTTACTTTTTATACTGAATGTCACCTTCAATCAAAAAAATTTAATGCATTTTTATTTTTTAACTTTGATTTTAGTAAGTCAACATGCTCCTACTGGTTAAATTACTTGATCAATTTATACAGATATATTTTAATAAATAATATTTACTAGTCACATTCCTTTTTTACTAAGTAAGATATTTTTTCAATTTCAGTATTAATTTGGATGGATGAATTATTTTAAAAATAAAAATGCTCATAGTGTAAAATTATCTTTAGTTTTTATTGCAATTTTTATCTGTGTTAACAGCAACTATAATTTATTATCTGTATATGTCCAAATTTGAGCTCATTTTTGTTATACGCTTTAACTTTTGTGTTGTGATATTTAGTTATAATTCTGTAACATTGTGGAAATAAAAAATTTATACAGATAGTTTACTTTTTATTTTTAATAGCAATTACTTAATTGTGGCATAGACTAAAAGACTGGCACAGAATTTCAATATGAAATAGCAGCATTATGCTGCAGTGTTTCGAATGTTCAGTGACGATAATTGGGGGGGAGTTTTGTAACAAAGCATTCCAACGTGTCGTCGGGGGTGGCAATGCATCTCTCAATCGTAAGGATGGATGTAGTAATGTCCTCCAGATCGAATTTTGTTCAACGGAGTCTAAGCTGCCTAGGACACGATTAGGGCCGAACCTCATTTGCCGTTCACAGTTCGTTCTCGATCCGATCTCGGTCTGATTTATTATATTATCGGAATGGGATTTGAGCGAAACTTGACTGTTACGGATAGTCTGAATGCATACACATATTTTTTACTTGATAATATTTTATCAGTCCCAGATTGGACCGAGAACGATCTGTGAACGGCATTATAATTAGGATCGGCCTTTATAGTGTACAAGTTTATGCACGAGCACATTTAAAAATTTTTATTTCACTACCTACACTATTAGGTGCACTCTATTCCCTCACTCTCATGGTCCGATGGAACGTCAATTTGACACGACGGAAGAGAGATCAGGCGCAGGGAACATTGCTAACTTTCTGAGTCTGGGCTGCTACTCACAATTTCTTGACAGAGAAACTCAATAACTGGTTTTTGGACCGAGACGGGATTCGAACCCTGGACCTCATAATCAGCAGTAGCGCTTACGACCACTGCTGAATATGAGGTCCAGGGTATATCGTACACCAATAAGATAGATGACTGACAGATCATGAGGTCCTGGGTTCGAATCCCGGGTCGGGCCAAAAAATCAATTATTGAGTTTTTCCGTCAAGAAATTCTCAGTAGCTGCGCGGAGTCAGGAAGTTGGCGGTAGCTCACCCCCGTGCCTCGGAGAGCACGTAAAGCTGTTGGTCCTGCGCCTGATCTCTCTCCGGTCGTGTCGGTTTACCGTCCCATCGGATTATGAGAGTGAGGGAATAGAAAGTGCACCTGTGCTTGCGCATACACTTGGGCACTATAATCCTGTCCTGCGCCGATGGCTAGCCTCCGTTGAGGCTGGCCGCCGTGGCCAAAATTCAGTCAGGAGGACATTATTAAGATAGATGTAGGCGTTTATGGGCCGCAGCATCCACGTAGATACCAATAGGCACACATACTCTACACTCGTTTCTCTCCTTTAATTCTATAAAGAAAGACTACGGTCAGGACAGAATACGGTAAAATCAAAAATATTAGTATTTCTTCATCCAACTGTGTTTGTGTGTTTAATAAATAAAAGGTAAAAAATATTGATAAGATAATGTGAAAAAGTCCGAAGTCGAGGCTTTGTTTTAGGACTGTCATTTTCAATCTCGATGTAGAAAAATTTCTTTCCCTATTTTACCATCCTTATGGCTGGTACTTTTTTCCAATTTGTGGGACCGCGATATACCTATTATCAGCGTTATACCTACTTCAAGGGTTCCATATAAATTTTAAGAAATTTTTTTGTCCTTTAAGGGCTATTATTTATTCCGTACTAAGGGTACTCAGTACTATTATTTATTCCGTGCTAGGCATAAGTATTTTAATGTAACAATTTAGACAACATTCCAGTTGTTTACCTTAGCTTACCTACCTTAGTTCACTCAAAAAGAATTAACTTAATAAAAATTAGAACTGATTAAAAAAATCAGTTCCACATAATGAAATCGGGTTTTTAATTCTTCGATCATTATATCTGTATATTTATATTTTAGCGCCCAATTCAGAAGCCGATAAGTGAACATTTTTGTTTTTTTTTTTGCAGGCAGTTTTACTATGTTAAAAGTATAATAATTAATTAACTTTTTTCACTAACTTATTTTTTATTCCGTACTTCGGATTTTGTCTTTATGCCATATTATTAGAATTAGAAAATCAACCACATAGATTAAATGTGAATATATTCGGTTACAAATCAGACAACAATAAAATTATCCTGTAACTTTTTTATTTAATTTAGTATAGATATTATTGTGGAAAATGACCCTTATTGGCTCTATTTTAAAAAAAGTGAAATCCAAGGACTCCGTTACTGGAAAATATACATCACCGCCTCCAGAACTTAACAACATTCCTAATTCAAGGAAAAAGAAGTCGATTTACAAGGTAGGTAATATTCATTGTATTTGAATATCATGTATTTTGGCTGTATACTGTAGACTTCTATGTGTACTACTAGACGGGCCCTGCGGCCTTAATACGTTACGGTCAAATCTCCGTAACACTTTTAGTCAACTGCGAGCGGGATAAAAAACTAGATCTTTTTTTTGCAAACCGTGAAAGTTGTTTTCGACAAATTAACACTGATCTTGTAAGAAAACGTTATCATTATTTATGTGCATACTTTGTCAATGTTGAAGTTTATCTATTTATATTTTATATGTCGCAGTGTGATTGTTAAAGCCGTGATGTAGTTATATCCCTAGGGATATAGCTATGTATCGTACCTGATGTAGTTATATGAATGTCGTTCATAACTATCTTACTAGGAATATAACTATGATACGAGCACGAGTTTAGTAATATAGTATATAATTTTTGGTCCAACTTGAGAGATAGGATAGTTTTTTTTTTGCCGATGAGTGATCCACAATTTTTTTGCGATTTTAAGGATTTATGATATAACAGAGGGCGAAAAGGGCACGACAACGTCTGCCTGGCAAGCTAGTTATTCTATAATTTTTGTATTTGAACAAATAAAAACAAATTCTGGCATGCTTTATTGTTAAAATTGGTGTATATCAGACTTTCATTTTTTCTGATAGCCGAGAGCCGTGCAAAAGTTAGTTGTTCAAATAGTGTGAGTTCATATATGCACGCTAGCCACGTACTTAGGAGGCCAAATATGTAAAAATTTAAATATTTATAATTTCAGCAATTTATGTAAAAATGACTTGTGAAATATTTCAGATTGATTGTACGTGCTAAAAAGGTGAATTCTGTGTTATTTTTATGTGAAAATTCCTGTGTATAAGTGAAATAATGGTAGTTTTGTATAAGAAATTTAAAAGTGTTTTAATAGTGAAATAAATAGAGAAAATGTAAATTAAATTATTGTATTAGTTAACATATGTATAATTTCAAGTGGAAAACATTGTTTTAAATTTCTATGTTAAATATTTAAGAAATTTCGAGTTTGAACTTGTGAGTAAAATAGGCATATTTGGTTAAATAAATAATAGGTTTTTCGTGATATAAAAATGTAATGTATATCGTAGGTTAGATATTGTTTTGTGCTATCTATACAGGTAAATTATGTAGATATATGACTTATGCAAATAAAGTAATTAAGTAAAACGTGAGAGAGTAATAGAACAAATTCATGTAATTGAGTTGCGCAAGCGCGCGAATGGCGCGGCTCACTTTCGCGTATAGCTCTGGGGTAGCTTAGTAAATGAGTTTTATTGCAATTCGTTCGGGAATCGTTCGGGAATCGTTCGGGAAAAAAGTTCGAGAAAAGTGAAAAACCAGCAGTCAATAAGAAGAGTATAGGGAAAAGTGATTACTCTCTCACGGAACGGTTTGAAGATAATTGCTGTTTTATTCCCAAGTAATTCATCCCTCAAGATTATACAGTCCACATCGAAGAATTAAGGCGTTGGGACCGGGACGACTTCGGAAGACCCGTAATCCCCGTCTGAACCTACTCGCTGAAAAGGAAGAGGTTATCGCCCTTGTGTGTTACTCCGTTGCGGAGATCACATACGTTGTTCCCGAACCCAATGTAGGCGTTATAGGAGG